CATATATATATATATATATATATATATATATATATACTAAAAAATTAGTGTAAAAAACAATGGTATTATTGCTATTGCTTCTCCTGAATCTCTTTCAAGGAAGCTTTTTTTGGTTGGGTTTTTACTATGTAAAACAGAGTTTTACAAAAAGATATTGAGAAAATAAAGTTTAATAAAATGGAGTTTTAATAATGGGATGTTAATTGAGTAATATTTTTTAAGTGATTGCTGAAACTTGAAAGCAGATATTAATTGTTTGTTTGTATTTAACTTTAGCGGTTTTATAATAAAAGACTAAATTGTCCATCTTGAAAATTTAAGTATATATTGAATTTTTTTTTTTTTTTTTTTGGAAAATTTTGGGCAAAGCCAGTATATTAAGAAAAAGAAGATATACAAGTAAAAACTATGATCTCCACCAAAAAGAAGGAGAAGCTCACAAGGAGCTCAAAAAGGCAAAAATTACAAAGCCATACAATATCAGAAAGAACAAGAGCCTCAAAAACCAACATGAGCCAGAACTCAATCAAAAATCATCTCATCAATAAGAGATCCAGAATGTAAGGCACCCTGGTTGCCCGAAGACCATCCAAAGGTAGCCATATAGAATGCGGACATTATTGTCCCAGACTCTACCGCAAGGAAAACCCACCAAGAGAAGCAGCGCCCAACAAATATTAAAGCAGCTCCAACAACCTGATTCCATTTTTCCTTTTGTATACTCTAGCAAAAATTTTACTCTTAATCTTTCGAGAGATAGTAATAGAATTACTAGCATTCGTACCAAAACACCTCTCATTTCTTTCCCTCCAAATGTAATAAATAGCACAGCAAGTAGCTAAGAAAAACAATCTTTTCTCATCAACAGAAAAAGTATCATTTTCACTAATTCATTCCAGCATGTAGGCAACATTAGACCGTAAAAACAAAGAGGCTACACCTGGAATCAAGTTTGCTATAATAGAGGAGTAGTTGCATTCAAAAAAGAGATGTGCCGGACTTTCAAAACTGAGTGACAAAGCTTGCAATTAAAATCAATAAAAATGTCGCGCTTAAGAAGAGTTTTAGCCATTTTCAAGCCATCCACAAGGCTAAGCCAACCAAAAACCAAAAAATGCAAAGCATAACGTTTGTGCAAGATGTGTTTAACCCAAGAACACTCAGACTCATATTTGTAATACTCTTTAATAAAGTCACCAAATGACGCCTTATCATAATTTCCCCAAAACATACAAACTATTACTAGAATTCGTATAAATAGGAATAGAGATGATAGCAGAGGCAAAAGTTTGGTCCAAAACAACAGGCATATTCCACCTCTTCCCAATGATTTAATTACGAACCGTAGTATTCCAGTTGCCAGAAAAATGATTAGACAAATCATCCATATTACACCAGTTGTCCCAAAAGAATGCAGTAGGCAAATAAGGAGTAATTTTTAACTTGAAGAGAGGTTTGGTAATAGCAATCGTTCCACAAACGGACTTCCATAATTTTGTGGCGTGAGCAGGAGGGGGTCTCCAAGGCGTAGTATATTGAGAAATGAGCCACAAAGAGAGATGAGAATTACAATTGTACATTCTACAAATGATCGCATAGTTAAAACCAAATTGTAACGCCTGCAATGAATGCATCCCAAACCCCCCAAGAGTTTAGGCTTACAGACTTTATCCCAAGCAACAAGATGTAACTTATGAGTGACCTCCACATTTCCAAAAAAAATAAGAATTTGGAAGAGAATTTCGTGTGAATTTTTTTTTAATGATAAGAAGAATAAGAAGAAGCGATTGTACGAGGTAGATGTCAATCTCATTTAAAATATCAAATCCGAATATTAAGAATCATAATTTTTGGATTCATTTAAAAATATAAAATATAAATTTATTTTATCATAATTTTTTTTGAAAACGCGTACAAATATTTTAAAAAATTTATACATAGCCATTTTCCTTATCTCATCTAATCTCAACAATTAATTACAATATTAAAACAGAGTAAAAAATAATTTTATTTCATTAACATAAATGTATGTACCATCTGATTGGTCGCTTAGGCTGTCATGTGCTCTGTTAGGGTTTCTGCCTCGCGCCATCTCCTTCGTTGTTGTGTTCTTCTCAGGGAAGTTTTCTGCCCTAATTTCTCTCGTTTCTGTTGGTTTTTTGTATTTATGGAGGGTAAACGACTTTTGGATCCTGATTTTTTGACGGGAAATCCCTCTTATTGGTCTTTTCGTGAGGCTTTAGGGGGTTCTTCTCATGGTATGAATTCTTATTTTCTGATCTTAAGATTTTGTCTTTTCGGGGGTTGCCTTCGCTTTGGCTTTCAGATGAGGAAGTTCTAGCTCTTGCTGCTCCATTTGAGTTTGCACTTGTTGGTAAATTTCTGACTCATAGACCTTTGCTTGAAGCGGTTCAAAAGTTTTTTTTCAATTTTAAACTCATTGGGGTTTTCTCGGTCACTGTTCTTAACCCTAAGCATGTTCTTATCAAGCTTGAGAGTGATATGGATTACTATAGTGTCTTTTCCCATCGTTCCTATTTTATGAATAACTATTTCATGAAAATTTTTAAATGGTCTCCTACCTTTGATGTTGATGTTGAATCATCCTTCCATCCCTATTTGGATTTCTTTTTTGCCCCGAGGGTTTTATAGGGGCTCGATTCATTGTTCGATAAACCCCTTAAAATTGATCAGGCCACTTCCTTTGGGAGGAGGCCATCGGTAGCTCGCGTACTGGTGGAACTGGATGTATCCTGATAAGATTTGGGTTAGCTCTGAGGGCTTAGGCTATATACAATCGGTTGTTATGGACCCTTTTCCTTCCTATCGCTCTCACTGTAAATCTTTGGGCCACTCAAAGCTTGAATGCCCTCTTCTTCATCCCATGCCTAATCGTGTGGTTATATCTCCTGTTGCTGAGATGGCTCCAGCTAGGATGGTTAGCGATTTACCTGTTTCCTTGCCCCCTGAGGCTCCTGCGGTGTTGATTAATGATAATGTTGATTTAGCCGTGAATAATGATAATGTTGGTTTATCTGATGCTATTGATGATTCTAGTCTTCCTGTGCAGATTCAGGATGATTTAATTTTTTCTAAGCCTGTGAGGCAGTCATTGAATCAGGCTGTTGGTGTATCCCCTGTTTCCCATGTTTTGGTCGATTCGAAAGCTGGTGTTGTTTGTCCCACCATGGCTATTGTCGGTGTTGTGGGCAGTCCTAATACTGTTTTTTCCATTGCTAGTGCTGGGGAATTGTTGGATTATGGTGAGGTGGTGGGTGTTGGCTCTCATGCATTTATGTCTCCTTTGTCGGACTCTGGAGTTATCTTGCAATCCCGTAAATGTGCAAGTGAAGTGGGTGGTGGTGTTTACTCTACAACTACTTTGTCTCGTGTGGGTACGTATTGTGTCTGCTTTGTGTATTTTGGCTGAGGCTGCTTCTCCTAGTGTGGTGTTTATGCATTCTAGGTCATCCGTTCCTCCTGCTTTAACGCCTAATGTTCATGTGCCTGGGCCTTTTGTTGATGTTCCTATTAATTTAATTTCATCAGACGCATTGGTTTCTCAAGTGGGTGCTAATTCGAGCGAGAGTGTGAGATTGTAAATTGACTGGCTTCAATGTTCGTCTGATTCCTCTTCGGAGGCTAATGGAGATGAAGAACCTGTAAATGAATTTGCTGTGCAGCCTGACCGACCTGTTGTGCCGGTTTCCTCTCGTGGGAGGGGTAGACGTGGTAGGGGTAGGAGATGATTTTTGTTGGACTCTCTCCTTTGGGTTGTTGTTTTAATTGGTAGCCGTTATGAGTTATTTTTTATTGTGGTGGTTGCTGTTTTGCTGGAGATTTGTTATATTTCAAGGATGCGATTGTTGGTTTATGACAATGATGTGGCTAGGGCTCATTTATTTAAAACTATAGCTCATGGAAACATTTGGTGGTGCGTTTTTTTGCGGTAGGTCCTTGGTGCGATTCTGCTCTCACTCCAAACTGAATGGCTCACGCCTGGCTTCGGAGGAGTTGGAAGCCTCTGCCAAATACTGAGCCTAATGGGTTGTAAACACCCCTTCCTTTGGTTTCTCTGTAGTTGTTTATTTTCGTCCATTATTTAAGTATGTTGTAGTCCCATCTTTTTTTGTTGAAATATATTTTGGTTTTCAAAAAAAAAAAAAAAGTATGTACCATCAGTTATTTTAAAATAGAAGGTAAAAGACTAATGCTTCAGCCGGCGGTGAAATGATTATCAACGCCACGGTGAAATGCTTCGCACACCAATCCCGTCAGGTGGTGAACTGATTTGCAAAATCTTCTAAATCCTCCTCCAGTAGAATAACCCCAATATCTAAGTGATTTGCAAAATCTCCACAATTTTTTTTTTTTTTTTGGGAAATTTAATCTCCACAATTTTACTGTAAAAGATTTTATTTATCTGCAGGAAAAATAATTTTATAAATACGATTCTTCTAAACAGGTTCCGTCAACTGAGTTTGGTTTAAAACCCGAAAACTCTGGAATTACGCCGAACCAAACAAGCCCATATAGTCGCCACGTATTCCGCCTTTCCGCTTATTTTCAAGCTTATGGCGTCCTCCGGCGAGAACAAACCAACCACCGTGGCCGCAGCTGCAGCCGCCTCCGCCATCTCGGCCGCCGGCGACCTCGTTGTCACCGCCTCCACTCTAATCCCATCCCTACTCAATATCCACACGTCAGACCCCAAATCCTCGATCCTCCTCCTTCCTCACCCCGGCTTGCCCCTCTTCCGCCGCTTCTGCCTCTTCTTCTTCTCCATACTCCTCCGGTTCTTCGTCCTCATCCTCTCCCTTCTCTTTCCCCTTTCACCCCCGTCGAATTCCTACACTGCCATTTCCAACTCTTCCTCTTCCCCTTCGCCCACAACCCGCGCCCTCTCCCACGTCCTCTCCGTCGTCTCCTTCATCCCTGTCTCCTCCCGAAAATATTACTTCGCCCGATCCCTCGCCGACCGACTCCTAGATGAAAATCTGATCTCTTCCCAGCCGGGAGGACTCCATGCGGTCAACCGCGCCGCGCTTTCGGATGCATTTGAGCATACGATCAGGCGGCTTGAGGCGGTGCTTCCGATGCCCGGCGGTGGTCCGATGGATCTGGTTGTTGGTGCGATTAGGGGCACACTAAGGCGTGTTGGTGTTGGGGAAATAGATGGCGGCGGAGGGAGTATAGCAGCGGAGAAGCTGGCCGCGGAGGTACTGTGGCTCGCGCAGAAGATGGCGGAGTGTGGTGCGGCCGGCGAGGCTGTGGCCCGATGGGCTTCGGCGGTAGGTCTTGGGCGTTCGGCGTTGACCCATTGTTTTTTAATTTAATTGTCTTGAATTTCTTATATATTTTCTTATGTTGATGAAATGCATAATTGATTTTTTTTATGAGGACTGTTGATACAGTTTTTTTCATATTTTATACGTTGGTTTGTGTGGTTTGTGTCGTGAAGTTAGAAATATTTCTCTTACAATTTATATGGTGGGATTATCTTAAGAACTGAGATTTGGGATTATCTAGAACCAAATAAGTCAAAAAGCGCAACTAAAGCGCAAGGTGACGCGGCAAATTTTTATTGGCTGTCCGAACTTATCTTTTGGCTCCGGTCACCTGACCCAATAATTTGCCCTTCACACCAGATCACCTTCTCTCTCCATCGCTGACAGTCTCGAACCAACAATCCCTCGACTACGCAAATCCAATCAATTCGTGATCTCAGATCTCGCATGCCATCACTCATGGCACATGCTTCGTCATCGGCCATCGCTCTTGGCTACGGATGATGGTGTTCCCAACCACCCGCTTCCGTTCGCAATAGCCACCTCGCTGCTTGCCTCCCAGCACCCACTATTGCAAGATCAATCCCAACCATCTAATCCCATCTCTGCAAAGATTTGAACTAAGATCCGCCAGATCTCGCACCTCCGTACTAGATCCGCCTAATCTAGCGATGTCCGAATCGGACTGCTTGGATCCGGCATTGAAATCATCTCACCAACACCAACCAAGATCTACTCACTCCGATGTTCGCGTTTTCGGTTCGACAGTTGCTAGATCTGCCATCATACGCATCCGACTGGCTTCGCCTAGCCGAAGCTTGCAGGCGCCGAAGACCACCCTCTCCTCTCCGATCTTGCTGTGATCTGCTCGATAAGGTTAAGGAGTAGTGAGAAATATTCGGAATAAACGTATCAAGTGTTTTAATCATTGTTAAGTTGTTACTAAGCTTACTTGTAGGTATAATATGCTCCGTAGTAAGAGTTGGAGCATGATAAAACTTCCTGTAATTTGCCCACGGCATTTCTCCCACATTGCGACCTTAGAAATTGTGTAGTTTTCAATGCATTTTATTATTTTTCTATGTGATTTATTATGTTTCTATTGTTAAAGGTTCGTATCAAATCGATATCTAGTTAAGTTTTAGCCAGGACATCGAAGATTTTGATCAAATGATTATCCCCAGATCTATTATAGATTGCTGTAGCGTGTCCTAATCTTCTAGCTATCGTGGAGGGCGATCTTAGGCCATTGAAATAAGAATGTTTATGATTACAATAAATTTAATATTTACTTTGAAAATAATATCTATTTTCAATCAATCACATAGACCATTTATTGTGAAAAGAACCCATATTGATTGACAATGTTGAAATCATCTCCTTATAGACTAAAAATTAATAATTTTGCATGTTTGACCTCTTATTGAGGAAGAGTGTAGGCGCGGATTAAAATCAAGCTTGGTAGGGCCAGGTTGGCTTTGGACCAAGTAAAAGAAATTTGGATTTGCCAAGACTCCTCTTGGCTTGTTAGTTGGGAATGGAGTTTGGGGTCAACCTTAAGCATTTTCCATGTCTAATTGAGTTGATCACACCATACAAAATTAATTTCATTGGATATGCTTAGTTGAAATATTATTTTTTATGTCTAACTCGAACAAATGTTATCAGGTCCTGCCTTTTGAAAATTTCAGAATCTCTCTCTTAAGGCAGATAAATGTTAGGTTCTCGAGCTCTTTTCCAATCATCTATGCTACTGTAATTCGTTTTATAGTTTTTAATTTTCGCATCTACAATACATCCTGATAGTAGACTGTGATTTCATTCATTGACTCAATTATAAGTCACGGAAACTTCAGTCCATTTTCTCCCGCAAGCCTAAAAATTCATTCTAGGTTTTCTCCTTTTATGAGCTTTCAATTTTCTTATTTGATCAAATGAGCTCATAGTATCAGCCACAGTTTTTCTTAATGGAGCTACAATTTTCTTCTTGTGCTGTCATTTTAATGCTAGAATCTTCAAGTTGTAAGTGCCTCAAAATAGATGTTACAAGGTCATCACTAAGGTCATCTCCAACCGAAACTCTCATTTTTCACTGCAAAATGCAGTAAAATCAAAAAGTGTCATGATTCATCTCCAGTGGAACGTCATTTTGCCTCAAAATCATCGTCGTTTCTTTCGCGCCTTTCTCAGACGGAGTTTGGTAGAGAGAAAGAAATGGCGAAAGTGAACAGTGTGGCGCCATGTTCATAAGAGACTGAATGCCGGTAAAAATGGAGTTCGGTTGGCACGTCTGAGGCTCTCCATTCGCCTGTTTGCAGAACGGCTGGAGAAGGTCTAACTAAAAAGATACAAGTTTATGGCAACAAGCCAGTGATTTTCATGTGCTCATTATCCCATGAACACACAGCAGGATGGAATTGCCACATTATCCGTGTCCTAATCTCAGGCAAACACAGTAAAAAAAAATAGAGAGACATCCAATAAGAACATAGAAGACAAAATTCCATATAAATAAGACTCTCTGAACTTGAGAAAATAGAAGATAGGAAGACATCGCCTGATTGTATGATACGTGTCTCTTAATAAATTCATCCCAATACTTTTTCTGTGAGGATGTGAGGCCTTGATACAAATTCTTTCCTTTGTTGAAAAGGACTTGAACCTAAATCAATTAGAATTATAATTCTATATCCTCTTTAACTTGATTGTTATTAGTTTTGTTTTTCCTGCCATGAGCTGACTGACTAAAATGGGGAAGCATCTCAGAACAATTATACATAGGAGTATAGGACAATACCTTTAAACTTAACAATAAGTTTAGAGATCAGCTCTATGAATCTGATATTTGCAGATAAATTTCCCTTATATAGCTAACCAATGTTGTCGAAATCAGATTGTAAAGCTAGAATGTGGTAAATTTAAGAATGCTAGAATGAGAGATGGTAAGTGTAACATATTATATTATGGCTTCGTTTGGGACGGCTTAATTAATATTTTTTAAAGCAGCTTTCTGATACAATTTTTTTTTTTACTAAAACATTGTTTTATAAAGTAATACAAAATCTGTCCCAAATGAAGCCTATAATGAAAAATATACTGATGGATTGAGCATGTACAACATAGAACAAAACATGCACAAATAAGATTTAGTAGCCACCATAGTTTGAAATCACATTTGGAAGAGGAAAATAAGGTTAAGATAATCAACTCTTCAAGAGTCAGAGGGTTGGGATGTCAACTTAAAATAGCCAAGTCATTTTACAATTCCAGGGTTTTGCTTTTTCAAATATGGGATCATTTATTATTTACCAATTCTAATAAACAAGGATCCAATTCTTGAAAATTACCCATACAACCTATTGGTAAGTCGTGGATTTTATATAAAATTTTCCCGGGTCCTTCTAGATTTGGGTGAAGTTTTCTAACCATTAATGGCACCGTACAGATCAATCTATTAACGCACGATGCATTTCTTTTTACTGAATCATATACGATCTTAACCAATTCCTTTCTCAATACTTCATTTACTTCTCACCTTGTTTGCTTGCCATTTCTCAACCCCATGGAAACCTTTCTTGTACAATCACCAGCAAAGCTGACCATGACCAAGAAGCTTAGTACAGAAACTAAGAACATTCTTTTCAGTGTTTCTGTTCAGGAGTGCTCACAGAATGCAAGTTGAATTGAACACCGAAGATCATGATGAAGATGATGAGCTTGGCATCTCCATGTCCCAGTGTTGCCTGTCAATGTTTCGTACGTGGCTCCCTCTGTTATGCCGCGCCAGCAATGGCATTGACACACCCATCCTTAGCAGTAGAGAGCGAACTGAGATGGTGAGAGTGCTGGAAGAAATGATACAGAAGCTAAGCTTGGAGCAGCAGGAAGAGGTTCTTACCCTCTGGCTACACCATTTTACTGCTTGCCCAGATTCTGACTGGCCCAACCTTGAGTCCTCCTACACTAGATGGTACGCCCAGTCTCGAACGCTATTACTGCAATGATTTCTTATTATAGGGTGCTAGTTTTTCCTGCAAGATTATAGATAGTTGTATTTTATGAACGAACAATAAATGCTGTCAATATTCTTCACTGTGTAAAGTAATATCCACCCATATGGAGAATGGAATTAGTAGTTTGTTAATTTGTATCTTATTTTGTTATACGGACGCATTGTAGTTCCAGTGTAAGTCATTTATCTTTGAATGATATTTGTAGATTATTATTTTTATTCAGTATGCATGAATGATCTTTTATTTGCATTGGATTTGTGCTTTATCTGTTATTGGGCTTTATATAACTCGAACATGCACCATGCATTTGGATTTTATCAAGAATCGAGCACTCTAAATGCTTATAGCTATCAAAGGCTGAGATTCTTAAAGAATTTTCCAATTTCTTTATCCATATTGGAATTAAGTATTGAAATTCAGTCATTTTTATCATAGAATCCAACTATTGTGCCCCAAAGCAGCTCATGGCATCCCTCTGATAGGAAAATTTTCAAGTATTTCCTATCAATTTTCGGAAAACAATGTGGATTCTTCACAAAAGTCCGCACAAAATCATGAAAACCGTAGATAATTTGTATTATTTGATGAGAGGAAAACAAAAAAAATAGCAAGATACAATTGATCCTCAATTCGAGAGGAGGATCGATCTCTCCCAAATCTCTAGACGCCACTAGAGCTCAAAGAAAATTCTAATTCTAAGAGATCTCAAATTTCAGCCAAATTCAAGATGCCCTAACCCTAGGAAACAATTATTAATGCATACAAACCAAAAGGAAATCCCTAAAGAGTCCCTACATTCAAATTTCCCTCCCAAATCCCTAAAAAATCCTTCATAAAATGACTCCCGTGGACCTACGGCTTGCATGTCGTCCGCAACAGGCGGAGTTTTTCTTCGCTGTTTCGCGTGTCTCGCGTCTGGGCCGGTCCTGCGTGGACCGGCTGGACCGGTCTAACAATACTCCCCTCCCGAATATTCATATTGTCCTCAAGGTGGATATATGCTCGTGTTTCGGTGGAGGTGGCCATCCTTGAGGTAGTAGAAAATCCTTACCAAATTGCTGAAGTAAGGGTTGCCTTGAAAGAGAAACATCCCCTCCCTCCTCTGTCATGATCACATCCAGCTTCTGTAGTCCCACCCGATATGCTTCCCCCACCTCTTGTAGGCTCCTACCATGGTCTTACGTCATACCATGGCTTTGGATAGCCCTGCATCTCCCCTTATAACCATCTTTCTCTCATCCACCATTAATTTCATCGTGAGTGCTACCCAATTGTCATTGGTTTCCCCTAAGGTTTGCAACCATTTTATTCCTAGGATGACATAAGTACTTCCTAACTCTAGTGGGAGAAAATCCTCCCTTACCTGAATCCTCTGGATGGTCAACACCACTCCTCTACAGATCCCCTGGCCTTTCTCCACCTTACATGTATCCATCATCACCCCATAACAACCTTTGTCCCCCAATTTTGCTCCTAGTTGATTGACAACCTAAGTGGAAATGAAATTATAGGTATCCCCACTATCAATCAAGATAACCACCTCCATGCCTTCTATCTCCCCCTTCACCTTCATCATATGATTCGAGGTAAATCCTACTACTGAATTCAGGGAAACCTTGGCCAGATCCAAATGCAACTTCTCCTCCCTTTCTTCCTCTAACTCCCTCTCACCTCCCTCAGTTTTCTTGTCATCACAGACGGTGAGAACCTAAAGAGTTTTGTCCTTGCACCGATGTCCTAGTGTATACTTCTCCTCGCACCCGAAACACAACCCCTTTGCCCTTCTCTCCTGCATCTCCTTCTCTATCAGCATCTTTAAATTTTTCCCACTCCCTCCTCCTACTGGCTTCTCCCAGGTGGTCTCATTAATGTTGCATGATGCAGGCCCCTTGGGTGATAGAAGAGTGGTCAACATCCTATAAGAGACTCCTGAGCTGTTGCTATTAGCTCCCTTCTCTAGATTCTTCTGATTTTCCACCAGTTGGGCCAACTTCATGGCCTCCCCCAAGTCGCGGGGCATCAAAACCTTCACTACTACTCGGATCTCTGCCTTCAACCCTTTCATGAAATTTTCCTCCAATACTGTATCTGAGAGTCGCTCCACCCTGCTAGCTAGGTGCTCAAACTGCTCCCGGTAATCTGCTATTGATCTCTCCTGTGTCAGAGAAAATAACTGCTCATAGAAATCTCCTCCCTGATCGGTTTGAAAACACTCTATTATGCAGTCTTTGAATTCTCTCCAGTTCCTGATCGACCTCCTCTAGTCTCTCCACTGAAACTACAACAGAGCTTTTCCTTCCAAGCACAATCCGGCTGCGGTCAGCTTCTCCTCCTCCGTTAGCCCATTGACGGCGAAATATCGCTCCACCTTGTAAATCCACCCATACGCATCTTCTCCTTCGAATATGGGTATCTTCAACTTCCTCACATTTTGGTTGCCCCCATTCCTCGGAATCTTCCATAGTTTCCCCTCTCCTAAGTGTTAGGTGCACCCCATGTTTCCCGGTCTTCCCTTACTTTGCCATAGCCCAAACCTCCTTCGAAATCCCTCCTTCTGTCTTCAAAATCAGCACCTCGGCGACCATAGTATCCCTCCCGGCGTTCCCCATATCCACCCCCTCTTTCATCCCTCTGGACAGGCTCCAGATGGGATCTTCTTCTTTCTCCTTCCATGATTTCCACCTCATCTTCCTCCCTACGAATTTCCGAATTCGTACTTTTTGTACGAATTTTGCCGACCCCACATAGTGGGATAAAGGCTTGATGTTATTGTACTTTTTCCTTCCCCACCTTTTTGGCTGCCATCGCAATCCGGTGTTTGTAAAATCACAAATTTTGGATTTGAAACTCCAAAAATAGCAATCCCCCTTTCTTCCGGGCAAATATTCATAGCTGAAATTTGCCGAAATCAGCCCTCCACCGGTCCGACGAGTTGCTTTGATACTAATTTGATAGGAAACACTTGTAGATCTCAAGTATTTCCTATCAATTTTCAGAAAACAGTGAGGATTCTTCACAAAAGTCCGCACAAAACCATGAAAACCATAGATAATTTGTATTATTTGATGAAAGGAAAAAAAAAAGCAAGATACAATTGATCCTCAATTCGAGAGGAGGATCGATCTCTCCCAGATCTCTAGACGCCGCTAGAACCCAAAGAAAAACCTAATTCTAAGAGATCTCAAATTTCAACCAAATTCAAGATGCAATAATCCTAGGAAAACAAAATATTTAATGCATACAAATCAAAAGGAAATCCCTAAACAGTCCATACATTCAAATTTCCCTCCCAAGTCCCTCAAAAATCCTTCCTAAAATGGCACCTGTGGACCTGCGGCTCGCACTGCGTCCACAACAGGCGGAGTTTTTCTTTGCTGTTTTGCGTGTCTCGCATCTGGGCCGGTCCCACGTGGACCGGCTTGACCGGTCTAACACTCTCATTGTTGTTGGTCTGCTAATCTTTGTTTTCTCTCTCTCTCTATATATATATATATATATAGACACACACGCTCGAAGAATTTACCACTGAATGATTCAAAAGCTAATAGATGGGTTCCAGGGAGGAATCAGTCAAATCTGAAGACTGTAAATGCAGGATCTGGCCGTCATATGAACATAATCATCTTCAAAGCCTTCCCTGGCGGAATCTAGTTAACAGTAGATAGTTATACGCCCACTGCTTTTTTTGAAGTGGAATGAGATGCATCTAATGTGGGTGTTTATGTCATCCGGAGTCAAGGTGGACATCCTATTGCCTTTTTCAATGAAAAGCTGAATGATGGTCGTCGAAAACATTCCATCTACGATAACGAATTTTATGCAATTGTCCAAGCATTACATCATTGGAACTATTACTTATTAGCCAACAAGCTCACCTTATTTTTTGATCATGAAGCTCTTCGTTTTCTCAGCAACCGAAGAAATTAAAGAGTAGGCATAGTACTTGGGTTGAATCCTTAGCAGCATTCCATTTTGTTCTCGAGCAGAAAGCAGGGCAATGTGACCAAATTGCAAATGATCTGAGCCAGCGACACCTCCTATTCAGGTTTTGAAATCCAAGTAATTGGTTTTGATTTTTAAGAATATCCGGAGCAAATGCCAATCTGCCTATCACATTTATTCCACATAAAAGAATGACATCTATTCTTTAATAGTAGACTTTGTATTCCTCAGTGTTCAACTCGATTAGCTTTAATAGTTGAATGTCATAAGGTGGGTTGGTGGGCTAGTTTGGCGGAGACAAAACATAAAGAAAATTTTCATTGGCCATTGCTCAAAATAGAAGTTGATAGGTACATTAAGAGATGACGCATTTGTAGAATGGCAAAAACACAGAACAAATGCAGGACTATACCTTCCTCTGCTAGTGCCCGGCGCCCCATGGATTTATGTCAACCTTGATTTTGTTCTCTGACTGCCCTGAACCCAGCAGAATAAAAATTGATTATGGAGGTGGTTAATCGGGTTTCTAAGATAAGGCACTTTTTGTGGCGTACCAAAACTCTTGATGCTACTCATATTGCCGAGCTTTATTTCAGAGAAATCATTTTCCTATATGGTATTCCAAAAACTATTACTTTTAATCGGGATGTCAAGTTTTTAAGCCATTTCTGGAGAACTTTGTGTGGAAAATTGGGTGCTCAGCTTCAATATAGTTCAGCAACTCACCCCCAAAATGATAGGCAGACCGAAGTTGTTAACTGGAGCTTAGGAAATTTACCGTGTTGTTTTGGGGGATAAGAACATTTGCCAATGGAATTTAATTTTAGCGCAAATTGAATTTGCATTTAATCAATCACCTAATGAGTCCACATGATGAAGTCCATTCTAAATAGTCTATGGAAGCAGTCCCATTACTCCTCTTGATGTGGTGCCCATAATACAACCAACCACATTCAGTTTTGAGGGCGAACATTGTATTGCAAAAATTTAACATTTACATGAGGAAGTTTGAGAGACTATCATCAAACAAGACAATATATATCAACAGTGGGCCAACAAATCGAGGAAGCAAGTACTATTCAAAGAAGGTGATCTTGTGTGGATTCAACTAAGGAGCAAATTGCCCTAGGACCTTGGAGGAAACTCAAACCTAAGGCGGATGGACCTTTTAAAGTCATCAGAAAAATCAATGACAATGACTATCAAATCGATCTTCCTCGTGATTAAAAGGTATTGTTATCTTCAATATTGTTGATTTAACTCCTCATTATATCCCTAAAGCTTCTTCTATCGTGGAGAATGATGCTAGAGCAATTATTCAATTGAATTATGGAGTTCCAATTAATGAAATTTATATTCGAATAGATAATTTTTTCTTGCAATCACCTCAAAGCAATCATATGCTCCAAATAATCCTAGCTACATATATCAATGAGAAAAATATGATAGATCTCTTGTGCTTTCAAGAAGATTAAGGTTTCGTTTGAGATGATTTTTATATTATTTTCTAAAATAACTTTTAAGTATTAAAATTTATTAAACTAAAAATTTTTGTATTAAAAAATTACTTTAAAAATAATAAAAAAAATTCTTCCAAATGAAACTTAAAAGAGAACATCCTCACGTAGCCCCTCAAACTGCAACCACAAACACATAATTAGGAATGCTAAAAAAAATTAAGATCAGTACTTAGCACATTTTCCTAATATGTGATTCTTGAGAATAATTTGTACAAATCAAGGTGAGGTTTCTTGTGATCTGGTCCATCCAATCATCATTATTTCCTAATTAGGAATATTTTGGGAATCAAATATCCCATGCTATGCAACTTGAATCCGGCACAAAGCCAGCTGATATACAAAATGTTCAGCCAAACTAAATTTATATTTATGTATATTTCTATCTATAAAGTATATATAAAGGAAAAATATGAGGAGAGAGAAAATAAATTTTGAATGGTTCATTAGAAAGCTTCATTTTGAAAAATATTTTTTTTTATAAATTTAAATTTCAAATGTAGGAAGGTAAGAGGAAACATCTCATTGAAGAATTTTAAATTTTGAATTAAATGTTCTCCCAATCTTTTTAAATTTTTAAATTTTTAAATCTAAAGAATATGAGAGAACATATTATTATAAAATGGAGCTAAGGAATAATGTTCACTCAAATGTGTAAACTTATAACATATTTGTTGAACCACTTTTAATGAAAAATTTGGCTATCTATGGCTTCGTTTGGGACGGATTTTTTATTATTTTCTAAAACGGAGTTTTAGTAAAAAATAAAAAAATTTGTACTAAAACTCCGTTTTAGAAAGCAATAAAAAAGCCGTCCCAAACGAAGCCTATATCTCATAATACATGTAATTTTACAAAGATTTCGTTGTTTATTTTCTTGGAGAAATATAATGATGAAGTTCTTTTACGATGAAAGCAAATTTAGCTCTTAAATTCACAGACTACTTGTTGAAGTTGCACTTCTTTCAAAATTACTTCAAATTTAAGAATCATTGTTTTTTCAAAACCACCCAACGAAAAATCTCAAATAAATACTCAAAGCATTCATAATCTTAATATCTATAACATTTAAAAAGTTATGCGGTAAAAGTTTTATCAATACAAAATTATCCTCATTTTCAGTAACAGAAATACAAATTTAATCGAAAAAAAATCAAAACATCAAATTATTAAAATAAGAACTATAATAATGATTTTTTGCGATGAGATGAGTAAATCTCCAACATAATCGATGGACTAAAATTTCTTCAAGGCCTTCAAATTATAATTTTTATTCTCTCCCATCTATTTTCTCTCTTATTCATTTCGAAAAGTTCTCTGTTAGCCGAATTTAGAAAGATAACGGCTTATTTAATAATACAGTAAGTGGTTAAGATATTTTGAATATAATAATAATATAATTAAATAATTGAATCAAATTTTTTGTATAAAATTCATATAACTTTTTTTGGGACTTAAAAAGTTATAGAAAAATATTCATAAAATAGCTCATTTTATTTAAAAAATTATGATAAAATCGGTTTGCAAAACGGATATGAAAGGCGCGAAAGAAAATGACTGTTTTAGCGGCAAAATGGCATTGGATTGGAGATGAAACACGGCATTTTTTTATTTCCCTACATTTTGGAGTGAAAAATGACATTTTCGGTTGGAGATGGTCTAAGTGCAAGCTTGTTTTTGGGCTTATCGGGTGCTAGAAGATAGGGCAAAGTTGCCCGTTTAACGTATTACTGTGTCCATCAAGTTCTTAAAATTATAACCTTGGTGTTGAAGGACTTCAAGTTCGATGAGTAGCTTTTATAACAGTATCTAGTTTTTCATTCTTTCAAATCCCAATCATCAAGATTGAGACAAAGTCTAAATTTAAGCACCTGCTGCTTAAATTACTACACAACGTCACAACATAATAAACAAAATTCTGCAAGCAAAGTAAGATCATGACCATAGAAATCACAGCCATTAAACTTAATAATAGAAGAAGAGTATTACAAACAAATTTTACATGTTTGAGCAAATGCGAATAAGAAATAAAACTTTACTTAAGAAAAACAATCAGGCCTTATTCATTCTATATTCTTGATCTTTAATATTTCATTTGGCCCATTGTATTGTTGTACTCGCATGGGTGTGGGAAGAAAAACTAAAGGCCTACTCTATATACTCTTTTGACCTCTGCATTTACAAATTACATGTTCCTATGAAGGCCTTGTGTCTCCACAGGAGAAAGAGGCCATTACTGCCTAAGGAGAATACTTCTCTTATTCCAAATTTTATGATTTCTTGCATTTTTTAAGCAAGAACTGCGATTTTTCTATGGAATATTGAATTTACTTACTGTATCTGTTTCCTGAAGAAGGGCTTCTGACAAAGAAGAAGTCTCTCGTCTTTGTTAGCTTCCATCTCTATCATACGTGCTTCCCATTTCAACTGTGTGCTTATTGATCTCAGTGCTTCAACGAGTGGCGTTTTATCATGAATTATAACCCAACCCTGCATAAGAAAAAAGGGAGTCATATTATTATACAGACATGACATCAAAAGTTCTTACTTTGATGAATTATTTTTTTGATTAAGATTTTATTTGAGACGGTTTTCTTATTGCGTTTTAAAGCAGGTATCTAGCAAAAAATTAATTTTTTTATATTAAAAAGCTGCTTAAAGAAGCAGTAAAAAAGCCGTCCCAAACAAACCTAAATCTTTTTTACATTCTAGTTATTGACTAGCTTGTGTTCCTAACTTTGCTCAAATTAGCATAACTCGAATCCTTATTGTGTGAAGAATAGATTGAAACTGCTCGTTGACTTTAAATAGTTTGAATTTGTTATTGGTTTCTTTAGATTTATTCAACTATTTCAATATCATTTGAGTCTTTTATTTACTGTTTTGCATTTAAAGAAAGTAATTTGCTGATATATTTAGTGATTTGTACTCTACAAATTCTAAGTTGCCATATATGATTTGTATATATCTTATCATTCTAATTGTTATATGATTTATATATATCATATCATTCTAATTGCATGAGAAAAATTGTAATACTAAACAATCCTGCATCACTATATAACAAAATGAAACAATCCAGTTAATTCAACATCTTTCAAAACATATTTTCTAGCTTCAAGCAATCAAATGAACCCTAATAAAGAAATGGAAAACTGTTAGGCCAGCCCAAGAGGGCCCGGTTGTTCCTATTGAACCGGTCCCTAGTGGACCGGTTTTCTACTACAGCCGCCGGCCCAAGGAAGGGAGAGAGAAGGGGCCGGGTGCTCCTATGGAGCCCATGCCTTGATTAAAAATTACTTTGGAGGGAAATATTTAAATTATGGGCTGTTTAGGGATTTTGTATTTCTCCTTTAACTTTAATTAGTTGCTAAGGCTAGAATTAGGATTTCATCTTGAATTTGAATCTGAAATTTGAGACCTTCATTGTGCTTGGGCTCTAGTCGCTTGGCTAGGTATTTGAAGAGTCGTTTCTTCCTCTCGAATTGAAGAAACTTGTATCGTTTGCTGTTTTCTTCGTTTGCTAGTGGAATGCATCGTGTTTCTCTCAGATTTCTACAGTTATTTTCTCAAGTTGCTGCTTCCCTATTGCTGTTTGCCTTCAGAAAACAGCAGATTTTCTGTTGCACGTGACTATTTCCTATCAAAAACATTCACCAATGAACTGGAATATGGAAACTATTAACTCTAATTGGCTGCTTATTTCATCGTAAATATATATATAGTTGGAAGCTTGAACCGTGAAACTAACTTTTGAAGCAGATACACCGGCACAGTTCTCCAAAAATTAAATTTAAGAAGCATTTAAAGAAATAACGGTGAATGATATTTTAGTTAATGATAGCTCACAGAAGCATAAATATCATTAATCTAACAAGAACAGTCTAGTCAAAATGTCAGTTCAGAATCACATAAGCATTTTTCTCGTGGGTAAATTTCTGAATAATGTGAAATGGCAATATGGTAATAATTTGATCAATAGTATGCACTAGAATCCATAACAAAAGAATGAAATATTAAATGGGAAAATCAATTTACCTCTGGCCTTAGGATGCGATCTATCTCTGTGAATATGTCAATGATGGAACACCTGTGCTGCTGATGATTTGATAGCAATCCTTCAGCATGAACCATATCATAAGTTCTTGGATAGGTTGGAAATGCTTCGCACCTAGTCAAAGTAGATGAGAGGTACATTAATTATTTCAGTATTGATTTTTATAGCTTTATTAACAAGTTTTAAGTGATCATGAAAGTCTCCAGAACGAATTTGAAATAGAATCATTATTGCTGAGTAAAATTTGTAGTCTTTCCAATAAATAATACATCATCAAAAGTACCTTAAAAAATAAGTCCACCATATAATGCCTTTGCAAACATGAAGAAGTATGAACAGACCCCATACGTTATCTTTCGCAATAAATAATCTCATCAAACTTGAAGTTATCTTTCAACAACACACTTCTCTTGGAACTTTATCATATGCTTTTTCTAAATCAATAAATATCATATGTAGATCCTCCTTATTTCCTCTATATTTTTCCATCAAACCTCTGAATAAATGTATGGCTTCCATAGTCGACCTACCCGGTATTAAGTTAATGCTTCGCAAGAGAAAATTAAAAGAGAGAAGCAATCTCATCTCTCACAAATCTCAAAGAATGAAAAAAAAAATCATCTTCTTATAGATATCCTCAAAATGAGAAAAATATAAAAAAGCAGTCGAACCTCTTACTTGATGGCTCCCATGGATCTTTGCTTGATCGCAAATGAAAAAGTTTAGATATTTTTTGTTGAAATCGCCAGAAGCCCATTGATTTATATATTTTATTGGTTCAATTATGTAAATTAGACTAGGGCTCAGGATATATAATTATAAGTGTTGCGTCCAGGAGTATTCACGGCGGTAGAGAAATATAAAGTTTAACGTCTTAGCATTGTACGAAAATCCGCCACGCAATCAAATAAGAGAGAGGGTGTGTAGCATTTATGAGACACCAAAATTTTTATGTGGAAAATCCATGAAAAAGGGGGAAAAACCACGGGGCCTGGCCAGTATGAATGAATCCACTAGTATTGTAGTTGATTACAAGGGAGGTCCTTCCTCAAGGGAAGGCCTTAGCTTGATGTACATTTTATAAAGTACATTACATGGTGAGAATACAAAGCATAATTGTTTTGTTTGGTCTAAAGGACTGTAGTCGGTGTGCGACGTAAGTCGAAAGGACCGTAGTCGCCAAGCGACCGAGGTCGGAAGGGCCGTAGTCGGCTGGTGACATAAGTCTGAAGGACCGTAGTCGGCAGGCGATGGAGGCCCGAAGAATTGTAGTCGACGGGCAATATAAGTCAGAAGGACCGTAGTCGGCTGGCGACGGAGGTCAGAAAGACTGTAGTCGGCGGACGACATAAATCAGGAGGACCGTAGTTGACGGGCGACGGAGGTCAAAAAGACTGTAGTCGGCGGGCGACGTAAATCAGGAGAACCGTAATTGGCTGGTGACGGAGGCCGGAAGGAATGTTGTCTGACGACGAAGGTCAGAGGGATGGCGTCAGGTAGAAGTCCAACAATGAAAAGAAATTCATCTTCAGATAGACTTCCAGTGAAAGGCCGATAACCGGTAGAAGTCCGACGTCGGGTAGAAACTTGGCAATGAGTGAAGGTCCGACGTCGAGTAAAAATCCGACGTCTGTTGGTGGCCGAGGAGAACTCTGGTATCAGTTGGGCGGAGTTTCAGCGTCAGGGGGGAACTCTGTCGTTACTTGGGCAGAATTTCAGTGTCCCGTGGAAGTCGGGCAGAATTCTGGCGTCCCGTGGAAGTCGGGCAAAATTCCGGTGTCCCGTGGAAGTCAAGAAAAATTCTGGCATCATTTGGAGTTTGGGCGGAACTCTGGCGGTGGTCGAGGAGTCTCTTCCCTCCTATTCTTCTCTTCTCCTCTTCTTCTCCTCTTTTTCTTCTTGCTTCTTGTTTTTGGACCCCCTCTCATGAGAAATGAGGGGTCTATTTATAGATTTTCTGGAGTGGCATGACCCGTAAATAGATGAGAGATCATGGGAAAATATGGAGTGGTTTGGATGAACGGCCAATATTGAATCCCTTGATCGTGAACTGTTCGTTAGACATTTGAAGGTCTTAATGATATCAAAATTCGGCAATCTTGGGCTCGTTGGATTCGTCTCATCGAGCCGCTCAATTCGACTATAAGCTCGTCATGTTTGGATACCATTTGGTAACTCAAATTGTGATTCGAACCTTCTGAATGTGCTTTGGGTATTCGATTTGGACCCATTTGGGCTCGGATTGAGTCAAATTTGGTGTCATTGGGTTCGTATTTCCGAGACGCTCAGTTTGACTGTAAGTTTGCTGAAATCGGAATTCAAGTGATCCCGGATTTAATTTTTGAAGTTTCCTGCTTGATTTTGCCTCGAGATTCGTGCCCGATCAAGATAATTTTTGCATGATATACCAATAAGTTTTCCAATATGTTATTTGAAATAGCTTAACGAGTCCTGCTTATATCAAGTTTGTTATATCAATGAAGAATAAAGTGGAAAATCAAATCAGATCAAATCACCAAAGCTTCCTCAACCAAAACCCCTAAAAACATCAACACCGACATAAATCAATCAAATTTATGCGTTGCCTGAAGTCGAGAATTGAGCTACCTTGTTAAGCATGTCATTAAAATTGTCCATTATACAGATATTCTAAACTAAAACCGCATCATCTTCAACTTTCTCTATGATAAGTAGTATTAAATATTAATATACTTTGATCTCTCTTGATGCTTATGGTATCTGGCAAAGTGAACAGTACTCTAACTATCATTGTAAACCACAAAGTTATTCCGATGCAAACACAAACTTCAATTAGGCCTCTCAATCAAATAAATTCTTTGATAGATTCAAACAGTATCATATACATGGCATTTGTAGTAGACAAAGCAACTGTAGGCAAGATAAGACTGAACAAGCTTATTTGTGCAAGCTTGTATTTATCTCTATGAGGATAGGCTCATTTAGGCCCAAACAATGGGTAGGGTAATCAGCTTCACTAGGAAGGGAAAAAAAAAAAAAGAACCAATGTCATATGTTGACAATTGAACAAAGGTTTATCAAAAAATAATCGAGAATGCTAAGGGAATATTAGGGTGTCGGGCGATATTGGGCTCGAAGATTATTGAACAAAATAAAGGTATACCTTTAAGAGTAGATATTTGATTAAATAATGTTGATGTAATAAATATATGGAAGAAAAATATATGAAGCATAAAAAGTTTTACAATTCTTTCTATTTCAAATGGTTTATGTACAACAACATCAAACCTTTATCCCACTATGTGGGGTCGGCTACATGAATCTTTTTTTTTTTTTCATTGTGTCATATTAAAAGTCAAATTCTCATTTAAATATAATAAAAATATATCATTTCTAAAATTTTGTAACAAAGTATTTTTATATTTACCTCTACCTATCTTAATATAGGTCAAATCTAATAAATCTACTCTCCTAACCAGGTCATCGGAAGACCGATGTTCTATGTGACCAAACCATCTAAGGGGGCTCTCTCTAAGCTTATCTTCCATGGGAGCTCTCCAACCTTTTCACGTGTATGCTTGTTTCGCATTTTGTCTCTAAGAGTAAAGCCATTCATCCACTTGAGCATCCTCATCTCTACAAAACTTAATTTTATGCTTCTCTTTTAATGGCCAACATTTTGCACCATAAAGCATTGCAGGTCTCAACACCATCTTATAGAAGTTCCCCTTAAGTTTTGAGGGATGTTGTTCTATCACACAACAAGCTCAATGCACTCCTCGACTTTAACCATCCAACTTGAATTCTACTAATAATATCCCCATCTATTTCACTATCACTCTGGACAATAGACCCGAGATATCTAAAACATATACTCTTATTAATAACTTGATTGTCCAAAGTTACAATCCCCCACAAGATCTATTACTACTAAAAGTCAAATGGTTTATGTATTCAAGGTAAATAACATATTTGAATAAAATATTTCATAAAATCAAATATAAACAAGTTAACTGACAACAAGAACAAAAAAAACTCAAACAAACAGCTTTGAAAGGCATAAAAAGGTTTACAATTATTTCAGTTTCAAAAGATTTATGCATTCAAGATAAAGAACATATTCGAATAAAAATAATAATAATAATAAATATTCGAATAAAATGATTCCCAAAAAAATCAAGGATAAAGAATTATACCAACAACAATACAAAAAAGCTCAAAAATATGCCTTTGACAGCGACAGTGCATACCAATCATGTTGGACACCAATAAATCCTCGATCAAAGATAAGAGGAAGGTAGTTCTGGCTAGTAACCGGTACTACATTCATCACCCACACAGATTTTCCAGTTTCCAGTAGAGCAGCATTGAAGCCACCGAATCGAGCATTCATGTCCAATACATTCCTAAGCATATTAAAAGGTGGAGTGGGATCCTCATCTCCGGGCCTCTTAGGATGATCTGAAAATATAAGAGGTGAAAGAAGAGACCAATAATTACGAACTACAGAATTCCAGTTTAAGGAATCCTCTGTAAAGTCCTCCAAATGCACACCTGAGGACCCAAAAAAATCATAAATAGTTGTAATACAATATGAGTTTCAAATGTGGAATATTAGTTCAATTAGTGGATCATTAAGTATACCATGAATGTTAAGTTCAGCTGAGTTTAGTTTAGCTTGCATGGGCCATGGTGTTCGGTTTTCAATTGGGATCCACCTCTGGCTTCTTAATCCTCCAATGCAAGGATTAAGTGGTTGATAATAGGGAGATTCAATATCATGACTCTTGCCACAGAATGGAGGACCCGCTTTCCTACAACAGAAACCAAAACTGCATCAACAGGATATTATGATTGCTCAAAAAATTAGTCAAAAAAGCATACCATAATCCAAAAGGTTAAAGTTTTAGGCTTCATACCGAGAACTGTAACATTTCTTTTTGCTGGTCTTTTTCCAAATGATTGTTTCATCTTGCTGTGAAAGCATTTCCCAACAGAGATTCTCAGCGAAATTACGGATATGCGTCCATTTTTTCAGATTATCCTTATCACGAAGAGATCTGTGTGTGTTTGTGAGTGATGTCCAAACGAAATATCCTCCAGGCCTCAAGAGTCTGTCAACTTCCACCAGGGGGATACCATCTGCATGAAGATTTCATTATTGGTTCCGATTCTAATCAACGGAGCATAAAGGAAAAACCTTCTGATAAGGAAAGAACAAATTGAAAGTGAGGATATGAATTTTTCATGTGCCATTTGATTTCCAACATAAAAGATGAAATTTTAGCGGGCAACAAATTGAGAGGAACCATATCTTAAATCCATCCTACAGGTTCAAATTAATTGCTATCTGCTGATACTAAATAGACTTGAACTTGAACCTACACTCACTAGTTTCCGTGCCAACTTATCAAAAGCATCCATAACAAAATAGGATTCACTAGTTCCAATGCATTCTAAATCTTACATTAATAAAAACATCAACACTTCTTTCTGAACTGCGTATATCCAAGAAATGATTTCTAGTTAGAAGTCAATGAAGGCGACTCATATCTATCGATAGAATTTCATCTTCTTTTGGTTCTATTTAAATTAAAAATCTAACAAAGATAAAAGGATGATAGAAAAAGTGCATTATCAGGCAATAAAGAAAAGTGTAAATGTAAACCATATGGTAGATAGTATTGACTAAATATAAAAGCGACATAATTTGAGTTTACTGTTAGGAGTTTAGAACGTAAGAGGCTTGAATTAACCCCAACAAACTACTAAATGAACACTTATCAACCCAAAATCTTAAACCAAAGGGTAAGAGCAAGCAATAGTCTTTTAGGAACACAACTTTTATTCCAATTATGATGGACAAATCACATGAAACATTTGAATCCAATTAAACCATTGGTTCTAATACTATTGGTTAATAAGATGGAAAAACATGACCTCATGTTGAACTTAATATATTAGTAGTTCGACACCCATCAATCCAAAATCTTAAGTCGCTAGTTAAGGGCCACTAGCATTTTATGAATTTAACCCTTAATTCACTCATCTCGTGGAGCTATTCTCAACTCTCATATGCATCATAACAATTCTAGCATAGAATTGCATAACCTTTAACTAGGAGAATGTGTTTCATAATATTTATAACTTGCAAGAAGCTTGAGTTTTTTTCTTAGAACAAAATGTGGACAACACTAACATATTAACCATCCCATATACCGACCAAATTTCTTTATCTCAATATGGAAGATCATCAACGCTACAACATAAAACTAACATAGCTACAATTGTTGGCATGGCTGTTTAGATCAACAAAATATATAATAAACAATATCAAAGAAAATAGTAAGATAAAATGATACAAACCATTATTTTCCCAGTCAATCCCACATCTTGCACAATGTACCATATCAAAGGAAAGACATGGATATGGCAATTGTTTTGAGAAAAATGAACCAATCATAGCAGGCAAGCCTCTTTCAAGTGTAAGTTGAACTTGACTTCCAGAGGCTTCATAATTTGCAATGCACATGGTAAGAAGGTGTTTCGAAAAAAGATGCGCCCCAAAGCTACCAAAGCCGCAGCCTATATCTAAGACAGTCCTGATCTGCAATACAACATAGAAAGCTAATATTTTCATTAGAGTAGATTATGCCATTATAGCAATGTTGAAATGCCATTACATAAAAATAAATACATAAAAAACACCATAAGCTCAATATCAACACAAAATAAAAGAACTGGAAAATTCTAGAAACTGTTAGAAGTGGAAACCACTCCTTGTAAGCAACAAACCTAAAGCACAAAATTTACATGTTTTGACAAAAAAAACAATGTTCATGACCGCATAGATAAACAAATTTCCACTAGTTCAAAGACAAGTTCAATGAATACATAGTTTCCTATGGATATTTACTTTCTCTTTCTTCCTTTCCTTACCTAGAATCCTCTCTTTGTCTCTTATTTTCATCTCCATAACAAACTACAAAAAGATTTAAATATTATATTTATATATAACAGACATAATACTCATTAATGCCCCATGATTTTCCTTTAATGCATGCAACAAACAATAAGCTGCCACAAGTCCATGGCATAAGATTCTTTGACTATCTCATTGGCCAATTCTCATGCCTCCTTACTAGAAACCAACCTCATAATTGCCTCTAATGAACACCTATTACAAATCTTTCTCACCAGTCTTAGCATACCATGGCCAGCAAACAAAAAACCTCATCGTCAATCTCTAGCCAACCTCAGTTGTAGCCAAGCACCATGTTGCCATCCTCCTAATCAATCAGCATATATTCTGTCACTGACCAACAACTATCATTGGTCTCAAGTCCAGTCGCACTTCAATAACCAACTCATGGAATAGAGTACCACCGTTGACTAGTGGATCCTTGGATGCCTCGTAGAAGTTCATCATCGATCATCAAAATTGCCTCTCAAGTAGAAACGCCACCTCGAAGCCCTTTGATAGAGACCACTTGAATATTCCAAATGATTTCTATCGGATCTTCGCCAAAACACAATTATTCCGCTGTTTTCAATAGAAAACAGCCACCAAACAATGGAGAAACTGAGAAAATAGGGAGAAAACGTTGGGAAAACAATAGTAACAATTGTATTCCACTAGTAGACAAACAAAACCAAAGCAAGATACAATGTTCTTCAATTCGAGAGGAAGAACAACTCTCCAACAATCTCCGGCAACGCCAAGAGCCCAAGCAAGAAAACCTAGAAGACAAAACTCATTCAAAATCAAGATCAAAACCTAATCCTCTCATAACTCCCCATTAATACAATCTAATTCAAATTAAAAGCAAAAGGACTACTCTACCCTTCCTTCTCCCTCCAAAAACACTTAACCCATGTTTGAATTGCAAGTGGACCCCACTCCCTGGCTCCCTCTCTCTTCCGCGCGGCTCCTCTGTGTCCGCCGCTTGTAGAACTGGACCGGCTGGGCCGGTCCAGGTAGAGCCGGTCCAAGCTGGACCGGCATAACACCCTTCCTATTACAAGTTCCAAGGGACTTGATATGCATGTTGGAGACTTACAATCCATCTCCTTTCATAAGTATAATAAGGTAATGAATTATGAAAGAATTATGAAAGAATATGGAGATAATAATGGCTTGAATTTAGCATCATAGCTTTGAATATCTTAGAAAACTTTAATTTAATTTTTCCATGAATTATTGATAGCTAAATATCGAAAAAGCTCATAAGTTAAATGATGGATGGTTGAGCCGATCCAGCCAATCAACCCGGCCCCAACAAGATGGGTTGGTCTAGCTGGCGGGCAGAAGAGCCCTATGGGCCCCACTAGTGTGGGTGGCAGGCAAAGAGACAAGGGAACTCAAAAGGGATTAATTCTACCTTTAATTACTTATCATAGAAAATCAAAATTGAGAGGGAATCAGGAAGGTTTACTTAGGGAAAGAAGGCTTATTAGAATTCAAATTTGAGAGGGAATTAGGAATGTTTATTTAGGATTAATTAGGTTGTTTTATTTTGATTATGTGATTTTGTATTTTACAGTAATTTTTTTTGGGTTATTCCTAGCGGCGCCTAGGGCTTTTGGAGAGTCAATCTACCTCTCAAATAGTAGATTAACTTGTATCATGGTTTGTTGTGCCAATATCAATAAAATTAGCCATAATCTCATTCTTTCTCGCTGATTTTTGTTGTGTTTTTTCTCTTCATTATTGTTGTTTTTTTGGCTATTTAGAGATCAGATTGCTATCATTAAAATATTATTTGCCAAAAAAATTAGGCTCCGCATCACAATACTCACATTATTATAAATAAAAAAATAAATCCAAATTCTAAAAATAATAACAAACAACAATATAAATTTCTTACCAGTAAGATAGTTTCATGGAACATATTACATAGCATCATTTAAGTAGCCCTATTGCCACCCAATGTGAACACTTCTTTTTTCCAAATATCATAGTATAGAATGTTGGCCAAAGAAACGAGATGAGATATAGATCACTAAGATAAATAACCATAGAAATAAGTATCCGGAGATTGATAAGAAAGGGGATGTTTTGAAAACAATGACTTGCAGGAGGGGATTATGATTTATAATTTCGCCAAATTAGAAGGATCTAGTAAATTCTTCATACTACCCTAATCTTTTTACCATCAAGTTTTCACTAGAATCACTGTGAGGAAACCTTTATGGAAATTCAAGTGAACAAGAATTTCTCCAATAATGTCATTTCATGTTATTTTAGCATTACAATCAAACCAAACAATAAAAACTAATTATTAGTGTAGCTTGAATTTATTTTCCTCACTTTCACTCAAACCAAACATAGATTAATGGTTAGGCCATATGTTCCTCATAGAAGATAAAATTAGCATAGCATATCATCGACACAAGCTAGCTTTAAATTTTATATCATTGCCCGTCTTTGAAGTAAATTTTCAGGCATTGACTTTTAAGTTACAATTTTCAAAAAAGTTAGTCATCGAGAGAATACGAATAAAAACATTTAAAAAAAAGAGACAAAAAGAAACACCTTTGAATAAACTAAAAGACACAAATCCACAGCCTATGTTAAAAAAAAAAAAAACAGCTACTTATTAGTTCAGCAATAAGCAGGCTCTACATCAAACAGTGCTATCCCCCATCTTTTTATATTCTAAACCTCTTTACAGTCAAGCATGATAGAGTCACTTATAAAAAATTTTTGAAAGTGATATATTCACCTGAAGTTCTAATATGACATACCAATCCCCCACCCCACCCCCTTTACTTTTCAGTGTCAAATTTCCCTTTCACCCACCCGATTGGAATCATATCGAAGATGAAAATTAAATAATTTATTAGTTCAAAAGGAAGAAGCCTACCCTAGCCTCATTGAAATTTGACTCATTTCTCAGCCCAATCATCTCAGCTATCTGATGTGAATAGTCTTCCACTCCATCAACCATTAAAGAGTCAGAGTGAAAAGATATATGATCTTCCTCCACCATCATCCTACAACAAAAATTTAAATCAAGTAAATTTTAAACAAAATCAGAAGCTTAATTTCTGATGCAAAAATCTTTATGAAATCAGAAAAGCTAATCATACCTCTTTGTCAAACTCCCTGATGAGAACTCCTGCCCTGTGATCTTCACGTTCTCCTTCCATATGAAGTCTCTTCCTGTCGGCCATCTTAATGGAATCCTATAATTTCTTGGTGGCAAAACCAAACAACTTTTCCCCTTTTCAAATCCATGAAGACACTTCCTCTCATACTCAATCTGACCATCTGCTTCTGCTGAATCTGAACTCCCTGAAAAATTATAATAACATGGCACATAATTCTCATACTCAGCAGGGCAGAATTCAATCTCTCTGAGCTTGCCAACTCCATTGGCGAGCTCTTCCACAAGGGAGAGATCTGCAACGAGCTGCTCCTGTAGCCGCCTGTAACCTCTATAGATGTTAACTTGCGAGGCACTGGAGATATATGTTATCCAGTAGAGTGAGCCCGAAATCGCAACGAAAACAATTAGGGCAAGACCAAGCTTGAGCAAGCTAAGCGTCAAGCTTTGCCGATTTCTACTTGCTCCAAAAGAGCTTGGAAGCTCATGCCCTAATCCATTCTTAGCGAAATTTTTCTGTTGGGAGAGCTTATCAAATGAGTCTCCACCGTCGGAGAGCCTTCCATTGCCGCCGGAGAGCCCCCGGTAAAGTGGCCTTGACATTGTTAGCCAAAAAACCCCAATGTGAAATCAGCAAAGATCTAGTTCAAGAAGTCCTAAAGGAAAAAATTGTAAAAGTTAGAGAACCCGACGCAGTTCTTTCACGAATTGCTCGAACGAGGGAACGAAGAAAAGGGGTAAGGATAAGAGAAAAAGTAGATTGAAGAAGACCGTGTTTGCCAGCCATAAAAGCTCATAAAAACGAAGCTAGAGAAGTAAATAAAAAAGGAACTTTTCAAAAGGAGGATTTTGCCACTTCAGAAACAGTTCAGAAAGCGGCAGAATATTGCATCTAGCATCGTACCGGTAATAATTCGATAATTTATGATTCAATGGAGCCCATTCTTACCACCGGAGAACTCGGAAGGAAGAAGAGAATGCAGAAAACAAACTAGAAATTCAAAATAATTCTGATGATAAGCACTGTGCTCGAAGAAGGAAGGGATGAAGAACCAAAAAAATTCCAACTTTACCAGATCAAATGAAAGAAGCTCTCTCCATTAAAATCCTGTTCTCATTTTCGATTTGTAGATAGATTAGAAAAGATCCAATGCCTTTAGTTCTTTCTTGCTCCTTCCTCTCTCCAGCAAAGAACAGAGAAGAATTAACAGTATTTGACCACGTCACGACTCACGAGTCTCTCCTCCTGTTCTAAATTCCTATGGAATCTGCGGAGCTGTAATATACTATATATACGGGAAAATTGTTTCAGAGCATTTTTTTTTTTTTTTAGTGTGGGGAGCCTGGGCGCCGCGGGGGGAGGTACGGCAGAGCAAATTATGAAATTACTAATAATGTAAATTAGGATATTTAAACTGATAGCGCACAAAATATTTAAATTTATATATTTAACAACTAAATTTTATTATTTATATATAACACTCATAATATTAAAATTAACACCTCCGATTAAATTCCCATCAACACATAGGCCAATCCCATTGCTCTTTATCCTCCTTCACATACCATAAACCTATTGCCTCTATCACTTAACACATCACCGATTTCATTGCATCCCATTAGTAGCATCAAAATTGGTTGAAGGATTGTGTTATGGTCCAATCAAAATTCATCTAATCTGAATCTAGTTAATCTTAAGCCAACCCATTTAATAACTTTTCAAAAATATCAACACGAATCCAACACAAATGATCAAAACCTGACCTGTTAACTCGTTTTGTTTAAAAATAATAATAGCTTATTAATTATAAAGTTTAAGATATGTTATCAAAAATAAGAAAATTAAACCGACAATAAAATATTAAGGAAAAATAATTTAATAAACATAATATAAAACTTAACCATAATCATAACAGTTTATTAAGCAGGTTAGTTCGAACCCAATTTTTTTTATCGGATTCAAGTCATTTATTAACACCCTTACATCCTACACATCCATATCTCTTATCATCTCCCTCTACTATTATTGGATCCCCCAGATATGTCACAGATCTTTTTGATGCTAGTTTGGTTATAAAAATTTTGAAAATTAAAGAATTATAGATCAAATCTTATTTACATTAATTTAAACTATATATATATTGTTGCGGGCTAGAATATACGCGGCGATAGAGTTAAAATACTTTCGTCTTAGCGTTGTACGAATATTCAGCGCACAAACTGGTGGGAAAAATTGTGTCACCACGCAGATTTTGATTTCTCCTATTTTATAATCGAATACTGCATTGAGAATAAAATACAATCTCGAGAGATTGACATAGGAAAGGAAAATAAACACCAGGATTTTTACGTGGAAAACCCGAAAGAGGGAAAAAAAACCACGGGGCCACGCCCAGTTGAAGTAATTCCACTAATGTTTGTTTGAAGTACAGAGGCTGATTCATCCCACAAGTTAGGACGATCAGATTACAAAGAGTTTCTTCTGAATTAAAATTCAGTTACAAATTTATGCAGAATTCTGGCGTCTCCCGAATATCCGGCAGAATTCCGGCGTATTCAGGCGGCGGAAAGAACTCCGGCGGTGGTTGAGGAGGAGCTGATTCTCCTCCTTCTTCTCTTCTCTTTGCTTGAGTCCCCCCTTATGAGAAATGAGGGGTCTATTTATAATTTTTCTGGAGTGGCATAGCTCGTAAATAGGTGTGAGATCATGGTCAAATAGGGAGTGGTCAAATGGACGGCTGATATTGAATCCCTTGATCATGCACCGTTCATCAGACATTTGAAGACCTTAGTGATGTTGGATTTCGATGATCTTACATTCGTTGGATTTGTCTCGTCGAGCCGTTCAATTCGACTATAAGCTCGTTAAAATCGGAGACCGTTTGGTAACTTAAATTGTTGTATGTGCTTTTCAATAGCACTTCGGGTGCTTGATTTGGGCTCGGATCGAGCTGAATTTGGTGTCATTGGGTTCGTATTTCTGAGACGCTCTGTTTGACTATAAGCTCGCTGAAATTGGAGTTTGGGAGCCCCAAGATTTAAATTTTAAAGTTTTTTGTTTAGTTTCGCCTAGAGATTCGTGCTTGATCAAGATAATTTTTTGAGAATATATCAGCTGCCCCCCTATTTTCGGAGGTCGAAGCTCCAGAAGTCCGAAAATATATGCATCGACAATTTACATTAGCCGAAACATAAAAAATTGCATTTCAAAAATTAAATGCTTGCTCATCGTAGAGGCCCCGTTGAGCTTCGAAAGTTTTAAAATTGAGTCCGAAAAGTCGAAAAACTTGTCCGGGGACCAAAAAAACGTCGGATTTGGACCGTCCGGGCCGAAAATCGGGCTCGGACAAGATTGGGTGACCGAACCGGAGATCCCCATTTCTCCCTCTATTCTTCGAGAGATCCTGTGGAGTTCTGATGTTTGTCAGTTGGCGATGGAGGTCGGAGAGATTGTTGTAAGGAGGGATGTTGAAAGGATGGTTGACGAGAAATCTGGCATCAGGCAGAAATGCAGCGTCTGGTAGGAGTCTGATGAATGGTGGAAATTTGGCATCAAGTAGAATTCTGACGTTGGAGATTACAATGACGGGTAGAAATTCTACGTTGGGTAAAATCCCGACGAATTTCCGTCGATAGGCAGGATTTCGACACCGGGTAGAAGTACGGTAGCATGTAGAAGTCTGATGTTTAGTAGAAGTACGGCGTCTGGTAGTATGACGTCGGGTAGAAGATCGACGAAAGCCCATCGACAGGCAGAAGTCCGACGACTGGTAGTAATCTGACGGCATGTAGAAGTCCGACGATGGTTATAAGTACAACGTCGAGTAGAAGACCGATAAAAGTCCATCGACGGGTAGAAGTACAATGATGGGTAGTAGTCCGACGGCAGGCAGAAGTCAGACGTCGGGTAGAAGTACTGCATGGGGTCGAAGACCGACGAACCATCGACGGGCAGAAATCCGACGAAGGGTAGTAGTCTGACGACAGGAAAATGTCTGAGGTCATGTAGAAGTACTACATCGGGTAGAAGACCAACGAAAGTCAATCGATGGACAGAAGTCAGATGACGGGTAGTAGTCTGATGACTGACATAAGTCCAACGTCGGGTAGAAGTACTAGACCGACTAAAGTTCATCGATGTGTAGAAGTCCGATGATGGGCAAAAGTACGGCCTCGGGCAGAAGACCGATGAAAGTTCATCGACGAGCAGAAGTCTAACGACGAGTAGAAGTGCACTGACGAGCAGAAGTCCGACGATGGGTAGTAGTCCAATAAAAGGCAAAAATCTGACGTTGGGTAAAAGTACTGTGTTGGGTAGAAGACCGATGAAAGCCCATCGACGGGTAGAAGTACTATGACAGGTAGAAGACCGACGGCAGGCAGAAGTCCGACGTCTGGTAGAATTCCAACGAAAGTCCTGCAAGGCAAAAGTTCAGCAATAGGAGGAAATTCAACATCGGATAGAAATTTAACTTTGTGGAGAAGTCTGATGGAAGTCCATTGACGGTATTCTGGCGACGTTAACCAAGGATCTAAGACCTATCTTAGGTTGTATTTAAGAGTAGGGGTGTCAATTTTGGGTCATGGGTCGGGTTCTGGTCGAACCCGAAACTGACCTGGTACTATTCGGGTCAACATAAACCCGACCCGTTTCTACAAATGGGTCAGTTTTTAAGACCCGAACCCAACCCGCTTCGGGTCCGGGTCAACCCGACCCGACCCGAATGACCCAATTTGGACAAAAAATTGCCAGTTTTCGAGTCCAAAAATGGATCAAACTCCGCTTATCGGGTCAAAAACGGGTTTTCGGGTCATTTTCGGGTCAATTTCGGGTTGACAGTTAACAAGTCAACCCGAACCCAACCCGGTTTTTGAAACTAGTCAAATTATTGAACCTGACCCATTTTGGGTTCGGGTTAACCCAAACCCGAAATTTTTGGGTCGAGTTTTCGGGTCGAGTCCAATATTGACACCCCTATGTAAGAGCCTTTGCTTTATGATATTAACCTATATTGGATCCACCAATGATGTAAGACCTATCCGAGGACGTGTGTCAGAGTGTTTGCCCGATGATTTTAATCTGTATGGAAGAGGTCGAAAGAATCCTCCAAGGATGTAAGAGCTATCTGAGATTGTATGTCAGAGCACTGCTCGATGACGTTAACCTGTGTGGAAGAGATTGAGAGAATCCATCAAAGATGTAAAACCTATCCGAGGTTGTATGTCAGAGCCTTTGCCCGATGACATTAACCTGTGTGGAAGAGGTCGAGAGAATCCACCAAGGATGTAAGGCCAATCTGAGATTGTATGTTAGAGCCCAGCTTGATAACATTAACCTATAAGGAAGAATTTGAGAGAATCCAGCAAGGATGTGAGACCTATCCGAGGTTGTATGTAATAGCCTTTGCTCGACGACGTTAACATATATGGAAGAGGTCGAGATAATCCACCAAAGATGTAAGACCTATCCGAGGTTATATGTCAGAGCCCTTACTCGACAACGTTAACTTGTATGGATGAGGTCGAGAGAATCCACCAAGGAAGTGAGACCTATCCGAGGTTGTATGTCAGAGCCTTTGCTCGACGACGTTAACCTGTATGGAAGAGGTCGAGATAATCCACCAATAATGTGAGACCTATCTGAGGTTGTATGTCGGAGCCTTGCTCGATGACATTAACCTGTATGGAAGAGATCGAGAGAATCCACCAAGGATGTGAGATTTATTTCGAGGTTGTAAGTCGGAGCCTTTACTCAATGACATTAACCTGTATGGAAGAGGTCGAGATAACCCACCAATGATGTGAGACCTATCCGATGTTGTATGTCAGAGCCTTGCTTGATGACGTTAACCTATATGAAAGAGGTCAAGAGAATCCACCAAGGATATGAGACCTATCCAAGGTTGTATGTCATAGCCTTTACTCAACGACGTTAACCTGTATGGAAGAGGTCGAGATAACCCACCAAAGATGTGAGATCTATCTGAGGTTGTATGTCGGAGCCTTGCTCAACGACGTTAACCTGTATGGAAGAGGTCGAGAGAATCCACCAATGATGTGAGACCTATCCGAGGTTGTATGTCGGAGCCTTGCTCGACGACGTTAACTTGTATGGAAGAGGTCGAGAGAATCCACCAAGGATGTGAGATCTATCCGAGGTTGTATGTCAGAGTACTGCTCGATGATGTTAACCTATGTGGAAGAGGTTGAGAGAATCCACCAAGTATGTAAGAACTATCTGAGATTGTATGTCGGAGTCATTGCTCAACGATGTTACCC